AGGACGTCTAACAATTAATTGATTTTGACATGACTCTCAAACGACTATAAAGTGCATTTGAATGACATTAAGTGACTAAAATAATCACGAAATGATCCTGAATAGCTTTCAAATGAATATCCTTTGCGAATATCCTTTGAATGATTTCAATTATTCTATTGTCCTGAATTCTATTTTATGACAATGATGCAAATTCATTAATTAAAAAAATTAATATAATTCATTTTTTTAGTCAATATATATATTTTAATCAAGAATTTTGTATAATATTTCTTTTTTTATTGATATTTTTATTCAAATATTGATATAATGAAAAAGTTAAACATAGTTATATTATTTCGTATTGGAATTACATGGAAACTTAGATTAATATTTTAAATAATTCACAAGTTATGTAAAGTTTCAAGAGAAAAAGTTTAAATGAAATACTTGCGTTTTTTCAGAGAAAAGAACTGTTGCAATGTGATGCAATGTTATTTGATTCCTTATGCATAATAATAATATTTGAATTCAAAAGTTTTTTTTTTAAGAATTTATTTTTAATAAACATAAAGAAATTTCTTAAATTATTCTTATTTGCTATTTCCAAAAATTTATAATTTATAATGTTTATAAAACATATGTATATATTATACTTACTTATTTACGAATTTTGTTCAATTCCATAAAATTTTTTTTTGATAAAAATGAATATATGATAATTTTAGAAAATTAAAATAAATTTAAAAATTTCTAATAACATTTCTACAAAATGTATTTCACAGTTTCCAAAATTTGTTAAATTATTTCAAATCACATTATATCTCGCCAAACACATAAAAGATTAAGATCCTCCTATTCATGAAATCAAACTTGTCTATTGGGACGACAAATTGGGAGTATGAACGTTATCTAAGAGTCTAGGTCATAAGCTTTACATAATACTGGTTTAGCTGAGTGTAATATTGAAAGCACGATAACCAAGATGGCAAAGTGTCACGTATCTAGTGACAATCATGAAACAAGCCGTAATTAACTATACCTGTTGTTTCGCGTTGATTCGTGAGTTATCGAGCTATTCATGCATCACCCTTATGAATAATGGTCTCCATTGATTTGTTCTCTACTGTTGAATGAGACATTCAATGAAACTTATCGTTATTATTTGGTATACACATTTCCCTCCTTACTGATAATAATTTTATAAAATAAATTCTACAATTTTTTTATTTTTTTTATTTTTTTTTTATAATTATATTCTAGATGAAAGATATTTGTTTGATTAATGCTATTTATAACGTTCTTGTTTTTTATATTTATGGAATTACTCATGTCATTGATTTATATAAAATAATTTTTTATATTAAAAAAATTCTAGAATAAATATTAAATTAAATTATCAATGTATTTAATTTACTATACATATATATTTGACCAATAATTTAATAAATTTAATAAATTGAAATAAATTGTGATAAATAAATAAATTATATAATATATTATATAATATATAATATATTAAATAAATTATATATATTTCTAAATTTATTTTATAATTATAGATATGTAATTGATCCATAGCAACTTGAATTTGTATAAAAATTGTATAAAAAATTATTTCTTTTTTTTTTTTTTTTTGAAAATTAAAAATTCAATTTAAGAGGATTATGAAGAATGGCATCTATCCTTAGAACCTCGAATTTAAATGCATTCCATAAAAAGTTTCTTCTATTTTAATTCACAATACTATAAATAGTAAATTTAAAAGTATAATAATCATATTTTTTAATTAATTTTTATTATTTTAATTTCATATTTAATTGTACATCTATATCTCTATATAATCTTTGGCTAATTCTCATGTAATTGGCATAATCTCATGTAAAATAATTAATAGTACAATTATTCTAATATTTTTAATTAAATATTACTAATGTGATTATGACAAGAAAGATGTTTAATCAGATCTATTATACCTCAATGACACGTACAATAATCCTTATTCTTTATCCCATATATTTCACTATTTACAAGACGCATCTACATTATATTTTACATTATACCCGCCCACGTAAAGTCGATTTCGAGAAATCTGCTTTTGAATTCGGTTTCGATATGATAAATATACATTAGTCGGCCAATATATGGAAACATCTGGATCGACAATAAACGATCCTGCGATAACGGGGCAAGGGAATGTGACTCGAATTCTATCCTATAAACCATGAGTTTTCACGTATTATTTGCAATCCGAATTTCACGATCGCGAGGGGGATCTAAATCAGATTACGTCCCCTATCTATTAATCAGAGCTTTTATGCATGGTGGAAATATAATGCCTGCCTAATTGATCCGCGCGAATCGCACATGGATTTGTTAAGCTTTTATACGATTAATAAATAAATGGATGATTAATCGCCATATCGATAATGTAGATTTCTAACTATTTAAGGAAATTTCGAGTTAATCGAGTTGATATTGTTACGATATTATAAAGGATTCGGGAAAAATTTTAAATGCT